ACCAACTGCAAGTTGAGGATGGAGAAGGCTTCTTACTTCTACTTCAATTTATTCAGTGCTTATCGGATTATCCACAATTTCCATTTCTGTTTGCACTGATTTTAACATGTTTTATTTTCCCAGAAATATACATAGCACACATTCAGTTTTACATCACCTTTTTGGTCAGTATCTATACATAGTACACATTCAGTTTTATACCACCTTTTTGGTCATTATCCTAGTTTCCCCGGGAACAGCTGTGCTGTGTGCTCTCCTGGTGTGCATGTGGTGTGGTGTTCTAACCAGTCTCTCTGGGGAGATGGTTTGCTTTCAGTTTTTCTGTTACAGACAGTGTAACTGTTGTTTGGATTATCTGTCTCCGGAACTGACCACCCATGGTGGCTTAAAACAGCAAGCATTTTGCTGCACAGGAATTGGGCAGGGCTTAGCCAGGTGGTTCTTCTACACCTGGCAGTGTCCGTTGTGGTTATCGACAAAGCTGGAGCTTAGCTACAGCTGGGACATCCAAGCAGGCACCTCACCTGGGGGCTAGCTTGTTTCTCTCTCTCCCTGCCTTTAGACTGTCATCTTCCCCTGGCTCTGTCCTGCTTCGCTCCAGGCCTCTCTCTTCCTCATGGTAGTCAGATGTCTTGATGCAGTGGCTCACTTCCCAGAGGGCAGAACCAGAAACTACTAGACCTGTCACATCCTAGCCTTGGACCTGGCAGGGCCTCGCTTCCACTGGGTCCTCCTGGTCGCAGTAGGTCACGCGGTCAGTTCAGACTTCAGAGATGAGGAACAAACTCCACAGCTGTGTGAGAGAGTTGCGCATGGTGCAGGCAGAAGAAATGTCTTTGCAAAAAAGTCTTGCACAGCTATAAACATCCTTGCACACTTGTCTGATGAGTTTCAGAGTCAAAGTTGATCAGTCCTTGAGTGGCTATGTGGTCTGCTGATTGGAGGATCTTGGGCAGGTCACATAACCTCTGGGACCAAGACTTACTAAGTCTCCCCCTGGTACTTCTTGCAGTCATCAGGGGAAAACACGAACACTGGCACAGATCCCAGGACTCTCCAGGGAATCCTGGGAGTTTTTACCAGGCCAGACTTTGCAGTTGGTATTGCTGTCATTTTACAGAAGAAGGTTCAGGATGAATAGGCTTGACCTTCTCCGTCACCACCGCCTGGATCTCATCCCCAGCTGGCCTTTTCTGCGCCCTGCACATGCTGTGGTGTCAACATGCATTGTGGAGGATTCACTGGCTCCCTGTGTCTCTCTTGCCCCCTAATGAAGTCAGCAGGCAACATGGCTTAAGTCTCAAGTTCTTGAGTCAGATTTCCTGTGCTGACATCTACTTGTTCCCATATAAGGTCTGTCGTTGGGGATAACTGGCTTCAACTTGTTGACTGTCACTTTCCTAGCCTGCAGAATGGGTAGAATCTTCACTGCATGGCTCAGGACTGTTGGGAAGACTCTAAGTCTGGAGCTTGGAAGGCACCTGGGTTTGCAGGTGAAGGAACCGTGAAGCAAAAGTGAAAGAATTCCTGGTTCCCTGGGGCCGAGGCTCCCTCACCTCCCACTCTCACCTGGCCTGGGCCAGGGAGGCCTCTGTATTCAAGGTAAATAAAATCATCACAAAGGGCCTGTGTGGTACTCTCCTGGCTGTGAGAATCAGTGTTCTTTTGTGATACTCCAGGTGGTAACTAGAAAGTCCAACTCGCCCTTGCTTGGGCTGGACCTGGTTACTGAGGAATTAATTCTTCCCTGTTCCCTGCCCTCCTGCTTCCTGCCCAGGCAGTCTGTCTAGAAGCAAAGTCAGCCCAGCAAGTCTCCCTCCCCAGGTGCCTTCAGGAAAGGTGTGGCACTCTCGACTGGGCCTGGGACAAACTGACACTGTGACTTGGGGGAGGGGAGGCGCTGCCTCCCAGTTGATTCAGGGATGAGTCAAAGCTCGCCTGTAACATCTGGCCCTCGGTGGCCTGGCCAGTAATAAGAGAATATTTAGTGTGTTTGGCAGGGCGTCTTCTGGGAAGGCTTAATTCTGTTCCCTGGGTTACCACTCACTGTTTTACTGTCCAAGAGGGCCTGTGTGAATGTCTGCTCACATTTTCCTGCAAATAGCAATCTTCCAACAAGATCGCACCCTGGTTTGTGACTTTTGCGCCGTGGTGTGGGTGTTTCCTCTAGGGGCCCTGGGAGCCTCACTCAGTAGGAGAAATTGTTTTGACTTGAGCAGTGTCTCTGCTCCTTCTGTTAATTGTCTAGAGCAGCTGATGGTTCATTGATGATCTTGGGAGCTCTCCTGGGCCGGGAAAGTCATCCAGGCAAACTGGAGATGAAGACGGGGAAATTCTTGTTTGTAAGTTTAAGTACCATGGACACCCTCTAGCAAGCTCTGACATGATCTCTAAAATGACAGAGGGAAAAGAAGTAAGTCAGTTGTGACAAATTATTTGAATTCCCTTTGGACAGGAGAGTCAAATGTAGGGTCTTTAAAATCCTGCGTGGCTCTAAAGGGCCCTCCTTGCTTCTGTAATCTCTCTGTTTACAGAGTAGAATGAACCTGTTACAGACCAGGGGGGGCTTTGGCTGAGGAGGGTATGGCATTGTGTCCTGGATGGTAGCTGTCTTATTGGTGGTACAATCAGAACCTATGGAACGTGAACATATATACTGCATGATTGTCCTAATCTGTGCTGCTATAACAAAATTCCTTAAGACTAGGTAATTTGTAAAGACTGGAAATTTGTGGTTCACAGTTCTGGAGGCTGGGAAGTCCAAGGCCAAGACCTCAGCGGAGTCAGTGTCTAATAAGGGTTGTTCTGATTCAAGATGGTGCCTCCCTCAAGCCTCTACCAAGGGCCAATCCTCAAGGACCTCTGAAAGATCCCCTCTGTGATACTGTCACTTGGGGGATTCAGTTTCAACAGAAATTTTGGGAGGATAATGTTTAGACCCAAAAAGTGATATAATTTAACATCTTATGAATCAGGTTCTGGGGGTTATACTACTTTCAAAGTAATATGGGGTAGATGAGGTAGGAATGACCTTTGCCTCTGTTTACCTCATAGCCCTGGCGATGCTGCATGTTTCTGTGGACTCCCCTGCCCTGCCTCAGCCAACACCAGCCATGTGACTTGACTGGGCCAACAGATTCCCTGTCCCCAGACGTAGAGGGAGAAGGAGACAGCTCAGACTTGTTCCTTCTGAGATTGTGCTTAGTGAGGCCACCCTGCGCTCTCACACCTGCCCCAGCGCTTGTCTCCGAGCCTGGTCCTTCATCCCTGTGTAGGCTTCCCTGAGTGACTTAATCTCCCTGCACATTGCTTGTAGGTCTTGAGTTAAAATAAATCAGAGACACTGGCCAGCATGACATATTTCTATCCTGTGTTGTGCATATTGATAGGCCTGGTGAATGTCTAATGCACTGCGGCAGGCAGCAAAATATGGGTTCTCTGGGCCAGACAGGAAAGATGAATGAGTGTGGTCATGAGTAGTTTAATAGGAGGAGGCCACTGGAGCCAACTGGAGACATGCACCTCGTCTATAGGAGCACTGCTGCTTGGCTCTACCAATAGCTTAGTGGGACATACTGAAAGAATCTGATTCGTGCAGGTTCTGAAATGGTGACAACTCCACCTTAGCACAGGTTATGACCAGGAGGACAGTCTTCATGTGTGGCTGCAGGCTTGGGCTTGCAGGTAGCCTAGTTGTGTTCCACCTGCCTGGGCCCTTCTCAGTGGTGTGACCCTGGGCAAAAATCTTTGCCTTCTGAGGCGGCGCCAGCTGTACTGTCTATCTTACAGAGTTGTTTTAAGGACTTAGTGGTATGCTGTGGTCAGGATTTTCTGGGCCTGGCCCAGTATAAGTGCTTAATAAATAGTTAGCACATCTCACATGTTTATGTGTAAGCAGAGAAAATTCACCTTAACTCTCAGGAAAGTTAGGTAATTGTATAGGTGATAGAGATTGGCCAGTCTGATAGTGTTCATCATTATACCTACACCCCAATGCCTTGCACAGCACAGGGGTTCCAATAATTTAATTGACTATTAAAAGACTCAGTTGCCGGGGATATAGCTCAGTGGTACAAATGCCTGCCTGGCAAGCACAAGGTCCCAAGTTCAATTCCCGGTACCAAATAAAATAATATAAAATAAAAGACTCAGTTTACTGAAGTTGAGTCCTTATAATTAGAAGTGCACCAGAGATATTATAAAGACCTTGCTTTGTATGCCAGACTCTACCTATCCATGCATGCATCCTTCCTTCCTCCCATCCATCCATCCATCTATCCATCCATCCTTCCTTCCATCTACCCACCCATCCATCCTCCATCTCTCACTGGGTTGAGTTATGGTTCTACCATTTTGCCATTTAATTTTGCAAAAAGTGAGGAAGAAAGAATTGATGGCTGTTCTCTGTTAATAATGTCTACCCAGAGTCCACACAGTAGGCTCATGAAGAAGTCACATGGTGTGAAGATGGAGATTTTCTGCACAAACCCCAGCCTGGCAACTTCCTGCTTGAATGACATTGAGCAACTCATGATCTTACCATGCGTTGGGTGGAGATAATATCCCACAATTTAGGGTTGTGAGAAGTAAATGAGACGGTGTGTGTGGAGCTGTTGGGACGGTGCCAGACACAGGCTGAATAATCCATGCAGGGTCACCTTCTTCTTCCTGGCTCTCAGTGGTGTGCGGGCTGTGTACTTCCTTCTTGCCTTTGCTCTGTCTTGCTGGGCTCCCCCTAGCAATTGGTAAGGCAAGATCACCTTGTAGCAGCTCCCTGTTCCCTGTTTGTGTCTCTTTAGCACTCTTCTGTACTTCCTTTCCCTACCACAGCTATGAGGGGTCTTTGTGCCTGATGAACCTGCTTTTGGAGGACTGGCCAGCCCCGTTCTACCTCCCCCACCTCACAAGGCTGTCCTCTTCAGTAAGCAGCTTATTGTTGGGGTAACTGAGCTATGATCCTGCTAACCCAGAGTCTGTGTCTGTCTCCTCCTCTCTCACAGGGAGTCGGACCTCTTCCTACTCGACAGCCGCACCCTCTGGGCCTCCGAGGAGGGCTGGCTGGTATTCGACATCACGGCCACGAGCAACCACTGGGTGGTCAACCCTCGACACAACCTGGGCCTGCAACTTTCAGTGGAGACTCTGGATGGTGAGTGCCCGGCCACTGCCCCCACTAGTTCTCCTGCAGCCTGTGCTCCTGAACTTTCAGAAGTTCTGGGCAAGGCGCATGTTCGTTGTCCTCCAGACCAGACATTCCTGCCCCTCCTGAATGGGACTCAGCACCCTACCTTTTGATCTGAACCCAAAGCAACCTCTCAGGTTGGCCACAGATAGATTGGGTAAGGCCTTGCTGCTCCAGGAGTGGTCCCACATCAGCATGGGTAACCATCCTCATTTAGAAGTGCAGAACCTCAGACCAGACCAGCCCTCCTATGTCAGAATTTTACTGGGGCTAGAGCCTTGAGCTGATACCTTACGCACCAGCAGTGTGACAAGTGCTACCACAGGCTTCTTGATCTCCTGACACATGGCATTCTGGGACGTCTGGAGCACTGGAGCATGTTCAATGTTGTCTGTGGCCTCTTGCTAGTACCAATCACATCCTCCAGTATGACACCTAAAGGTGTCTTCAGACAGTGTCAAAGTGTTCTCTTTGTGACAAAATTGTTCCTGATTGAGGATCACTGTACTGGTTAAGGCATTAGCCTCTTCCCCATTAGTGGTTGAGTCCTAAATTCTTGGAGAATCTGTTGTTAGATGGCCTCCCTGGCACCTTTCACTTCCTCCCAAAATTGCTTCCTTCCAGAAGGACAGACAGGAAGATAAGTGCGGAGCTGGCAGTGGTCTATGCCAATATCTGCTTTCTTAACTTATATTTCTACTGAGTGGGTGTGGTTTCTGGGTGTATAGCTTCTTTCTTCCATCACTTTTAAGAAGAAAAGTAATTGTTCCACTTATTGTGGAATAGGAAGTATATGCCCTTGGCTTCATGGTCAGACATTACGGAAATGTGTAACAGTAAATAGTGTCCCTCTGACTTCCTTCTCTCAGTTGTTGAGTTCCATTTCCCAGAGTCAATTCTTGTTTTTTGTGTTAGTAGGTATCTTTTCAGAGATTCTGCTCTTTTGATTCTTCTCCCACAAATGATGGCACAAAATATTCAGTGTTCTTCATCTGACCACTTAAATTGCTTATAATTAAAGAGCTTCCTCATTTGTTTTAGGGCTTGTGTTTTGTGCCCAAGTGTGAGTGTGGATGTGCTGCTCCTCCCTTTCTGTGTGACTTTGGACAACTTCCGTAACTCTTGGCATCCGCATCTCCAACACGTGGGTGGTAAGGGCACCTGGGCCACTGAAAGTTCATGAGTTAATATGGGAAGAGTATTTAAAATAGCAACTTAATGTACATAGAACCCCCCCATCTTATTAAAATGCAAATTCTGATATGGGGGAGCCTGCCTTTCCAGATGGCCAATGGGGATGCTGAGGCTGCTGGTCTCTGGACCAAGCTTTGGGTAGTGAGTGCTCAGGACATGACCTGACTATAGTGTACCCCTGAATAAAAGCCATTGTCACTATTACTGCACCTGGTGTTCTTTTCCTCGTACAGACAGGACTGGGGTGGAAAAGCTTGTGCACAGGTCATTTTCAGTTGAGTGACTGTAGCCCTGGCGTGAATTCCTGACAGCGACCTTGCCCTTGGTAGTAGGAAGGGCTCCTGTTTCCCTTTCCTCACCAGTTCAGGTTCTCAAGCCTGTCTGTCCTTGCTATGCTGCTCACCTGAGGACAGATGGCACCCGGCATGTGACTTTGCTTTTCTCTCTCCTGTGTGAGGGAGCCCTTTTTCCACGTGTGTTATCTGTAGTGTCTTCCCTGGGTGCTGTCTGTCCCTACCCACTGCCCATCGCTCTGGCAGTTTGTAGGTCTTTTTCCTCTCCATTTTGACTCTTTGCAATTTGAGCAGCAAATGTTTCCCCAGTTTTGAGTTTTCTCTTTACTTTGATTATCCTGAATTTTGCCAAGTGACTTCTGACAAAGTAGCTGAATTGAATCACCTTTTCCTTTATAGCTCCTGGGCTTTGCCTCTTTCCTCCTATCAGAGGCCACTGCACTGTAGGAAGAACCGTCTAGGGGTGATTTAATGATGGTCCAGTTCAGGCACTTCTGTGTGTCTCTTCCTCCAGCTCAGGGATGTGGTTGTAGGATGTGAGGAGCAGGAACTGTTTCCGTATTTCCTGGTGAGGTCTGGTGAGGAAAGAGGCCCCTCCCACCTCCCTCCCACCTTGATCCTCCAGAACATTCCCTCTGCTTCAGTTTCAGAAAGCTCACCTGAGCCCAGGGGAGGAGCCACAGAGGTGAGGGCCACACTTCCCTCTGCTCTCCAGCTCAGCCTCCTCTCTGCTGAAGGTCTCCCCACCGCTGTTTTCCCATGTCCCACCCTCTTTCTGCGCTCCTCAGACTTAAAGAAGATTCTAGAAAGTACTGGATTTTTCCATGGCTCTATACTACGAGTTAGCACACTAAACCTAGTTGACATCCGTCAGCCTACAGCCTGCTCTTTCACTCTAGTGACAAAGTTTTCAAATTTTTAATGATTGAGAAAAATTGAAAGAACATGGTGACATGTAAAATGATACGAAATTGACATTTCAGGGTCCATAAGTGATGTTTTACTGCACATTGCCCACTCATTTTTTTCCTCTATTTCTCAGACTGCCTTTGTGTTTTAACAGCGAATTTGAGTAACTGTAACAGAGATCCTGTGGCCTGCCAAGCTGAACATAACGTATTGTTTTCAGAAATATTTATTTACAGAGAAAGTTTGTAGTCTGCCCTGTACCATTATTTCTCAAGCTGTGATTCCTGAAGTGTCGATAGGTAGCCCAGGGAGAGGTAAGCGGTTTCCGGGTCAGTTAAGTGTGAGGAATGCTATTTGGATAAACAGGATTCTCTACAGAACTTATCAGAGCCTTTATTTGGCCTGCGTCCTTTGTGAATCTCTGGGCGGAAATGTTGCACAGAATTCCAAGCTTATCTGGCAATAAAGCCATCCAACGCTTTTTCCTTAGAAGCTCTCTGGAGCGTGTTGGGGGTGAGATAAAATAACGAGGCAAAGGTGAGCTGGTTTCTCCTCTTCGGAGTCACTGCTGCCCTCGACTTGTGGACACTAGCTGGACCTTCCAGCTTGACCTCATTGTCCTGTGTCTCTGTCCTGCCTGCCCCGCTGGCTCATGTGGCCCAGGGTGAGTCACTGACTGTCCCTCATCTGGAAAATGGGGTTAATCATTGTTTCCACATCCAAGGGTGGTGAGATGAACGCACGCAAGCGGAAAGCTGGGGCGCAACAGGAGGTGGCCGCCACACGAGGGCTTTGTGTCATTATCGCGAGCACTGCCCGTCCCCACCCAAGGATGCTGCCCTTGTCAGCATCTCCGTAGTGCAGGGGAGGAAAGTGAGGCTCTCAGAGCCCACAGGGCTTCCCCCCTGCACAGCACACTGGAGCCCCTCACCACTCCTTGTGGCCTCGTGGCCACAGGTACTGTGTAGAGTCAGGGTGAGGGTCAGGCTGTGCCCTGTCACTGGCACCTGTCCAGGTTTGGTGTGTCCAAGGCAGCGAGTGGTCACCCTGGTCAGGGGAAGCCCACCCCTCACATCCACAGGGAGGGACGGTGCGCGCCAAGGCCAGCTGGCCGTGTGAGATGTTAGATGAGCGAAGAAACAAGCGAGTCGCATTGCTGAGACCCAGGCTTTGAGCTGGGCAATTGCGTGCCCCTACTCCAGCAGTCCTCAGTGTGGTACCTGTCAGGATCACCTAGGGGAGCTGTGCGTGCTGGTTCCGAGGCCGCCTCACAGCCACTGATAGAGGGTGGGCTTATGAACAGGCCTTCCCCCAGCGCTCCTTGGGCCATAAGGGGCCTGGCTAGGAAGCCATACTGTGCCTGGTGCCTCAGGGCTCCCTGTGTCTGTCAGGGCTCCCTGTGTCTGTCAGGGCTCCCTGTGTCTCTCAGGGCTCCCTGTGTCTCTCAGGGCTCCCTGTGTCTCTCAGGGCTCCCTGTGTCTCTCAGGGCTCCCTGTGTCTCTCAGGGCACTGGTCCTGGGCCCGAGCTTTCCCACAGATCCCCACACAGGAGCGAGCCTAGCTCGGCCTGCCAGGAAGCCTTTGTTCCTTGGATACCTTCTCTGTGCTGGGCCTGAGCTGGTGGCAGAGTCCTCTGGCATCTGCCCTGGGGACCTCCCTGCCTCGAGGGGCTCCGGGACAGGCCAGCTCAGGCCCAGGGCCCAGGAAGGCAGGAGATGGGACACAACCTTGTCCAAAGCTAAGCAGCATATTGGCCACTAGGCTACCCTGTGTAGAGGTAGAGAGCACCCTGGAGGCTGGTCACCCCTGTACCAGTGGTAGAAATCCAGGCCCCTTGTGGCCATCCTGGGGAGGAACAGAGTTTCAGAACCTTATGCCTGGCCTCCTGGGAGCCCTGCGTGTCCTGATCTCAGGACACAGCACATAAGCAAGTGCACTCTCTTCCCTTCTGCCTGGCCTTGGGAAGGTTTCGGGTCAGAGGTGCCCTTCTGAGACAACCCGGCAGCATGCAGAGCTGCATCTGCTCCTGTCCTAGCTGGCCGTGGTCTGGGCCCTGTGCCCCCAAGGGAGGGAATCCTGTAACCTTTGGGCCCCTGCGGCTCCCTGGGGGCAGCCAGGCAGCCTGGCCTCAGCTCCCCGGAAGGGAGAGACGCCGCAGAAGTCGGCTGCTGTCTCTCTGTCTGTCTTTTGGTACAGAACAGATGGGGAGAGGTGGCCACTTCCCTGCCCCAGCCCCAAGGCCTGCACTTCTCACCCCTGGATCAGCCTCATCCTGCACTCCAGGCTGGTGGTGGGAACCGGGGGCATGAGGCACCACCCAGGGCTGGGTGAGGGAGGAGGGGGCGCCCCGTGCAGAGGGACCCCATCCTCCTGCTGAGGCAGTGGAGCCGTCTTGCCTGGTACCTCGTGGTGTTCTGGGCTGGTGTCTGCAGCTGTCCTGTTGGTGTGGTCTCAGCCCCGTGCCTCCTCCTCAGGCCGTGTTCCTTCGCTGCTTGGTGGGTGTTGTCCAGCAGCTGGGAGAAAGAAAAGGGAGAGTCCTGGGAAACGCTGGGCCCTGCACCATACCCCCGA